TTGAGGGTAGGGAGTCCGTTTGGAAGTGTGTTCGAAAGTTAATTTCTACCTTGCGACGGGATTGAGTGAACTATGGTTCGCCTGCCTGGCCATGATTCCCTTGTGGCCGTGACTGGGTTATCACAGCTACTGATGCATGTATATGAAGTGTTGTTTAAAAAAATTAAAGAGCATCAGCGAGTCACGTAGAACCTATCCTGTCTGCATAGGTTTAAGTTATCATATCAAGGTGGAGATGCTAGGGGCTTGCCACAGACGGTGGTATGTTTATGGAGAGCGTTTTTTAACAATAAAATTAAAGAGCACTTTGCATGGCCACGTAAAGCATGCGGTAGTATTCGGTTAATGCTATCCCCCCGGGCGTGGAAGGGAGGTTACCGCAACGTAGCAGCACTAGTGTTAGGATTAGGTTTGGATTTTGGTCAGGGTTAGGGTTAGGGTTAGGGGTTTTGGATCATGATATCTGTCCCCACACCATAGATTAATTTTTGTGGATAGCAACACCTATATATATAGCGCTCCGAGAATATATATATATTTAGTGTTATGTTTAGCATTGGAGGTGTTGCAGTTAGCCTTACTGGATGCTTTAATGATTTTGAAGTATACGTCAACTGTATCACGTGACCCTCCCTCCACGCCATGTGAATCAAAGATGTGAATGCCACCATAAAACAGGAGTTTGAGGCCGCGTGATTTGTATCAACCAATGCGGCAGCACCCGCTAGTAAACCCTATGTTCCTTGATTGACCTAGGAATAAAAATCAGCTGCGCGGGATAACAACCCCGTAGTATTCTATAATCGCTAGGATGAATCGGCGGAGTTTCTCACGAAGTTTTTTTGAGTGAAAGTGAATATGAAGTAATGTGTAACTGCAAGTCTGTGACTCCGTGTGCATTGTAGAACTTAAATGTCAGATGCAGCGTTCGGCGCGTAAATAGGAAAGGAAGGGCAGAGGAGGCAAGTAGCCAAGTAGTGTAGTAGTGACAGCCAGCAACATGGCGACCCATGTCTGGACATAGATCGCGCGCGCTGTGTGTGTGTGTGCGGTGGTGTGTGTCGTGCAGCCGTGGTGCGTTGGGTGGAGGAAATGGGAGCAGTGATTAGTTGGCCTTCGGCAGCAGTGGCGTACACATCCGTGGTACACACTGTACAGCATTCGCTATACACGTGGTCACTGGTGTGCTATTTACGTATCTGTAATGACACCCCGCATCACGAGGCTGCGCAAATTCGTCCATGCTACATTTGTAAATCGTGACACTACAGGGTGCGAAATTAACGGGAGTCCCGGAGTCAATTACTCCCTGATTTACTGTCGGACTCCTTGATTTGACATATACATGGCAGAGTCCGTGTGACTCCCTGAAAAATCTGCCATACTAACAGTAACTAGTTCGTTCCGGAGCACGGCCTCGCGGAATTACTGTATTTTTTTTAGCTAATGGTCCAAATAAAATTTGGCAGTACGTGCAACAGCAGGAATCTTAAAAATAAGCAACATGCGTTATTGTTAATATCTTTAATTTTGAACCTCAGACTGCCGGACTCCCTATTTTTGAGGGTAGGCTCGGTACTACTAATAGGTTGGACTCCCTTGTTCAAAGAAGTCAATTTCTACCCTGCACTATTCTGCCGCATAAATTGAAAATTTGCTTGTACGTAATTTTAGGGCTGGATGGTTTTTTGTTTACCCAATACAATTTTTTATTAAATTCTCAATTTGAAACCTATGTTAAACAACGTTTACTCGCATTCATTGTACTTGTAGTTGTATTGGTGAGAGATCAGAGAATAAATTAGGCGAATAAGAATTCGAGAATAATGTTCATGCGGGAAACATGATTAACATTATGGAATTTTGCATTTTCTTTACCGTATCAGTTTTATAACTGTCATATCTGGGTATTGCTGCAGGCATTTTACGTATGATCATGATTTGGATGGCTACTAAGTATTAAACTAACCATCTATTATACTACTGTACCAAGTCAAGGTGCACGCTGAATCATCCATACTGACGTCTCGGAGGTCAAATCCAATGCGGCCAATGACATTCAGCATCAAAAGTAATTACCCCTCTGAACGTCTTTGGACATTTCTAGAGTGCTCCATATTGATTTGCATTGAGAACGGACAAACAAACAGCCGTACATACACAAATATGTCTGTTAGATTGACAGTGCTCATGTACTGGCGGTTTGTCTGATAGTGATACACAATGCAGTACGTACACAGTATATCACAGTCGGCTAAAATGAACTTTTTTCGATAAGAAGTTAAATTATACGCCCTAGTACACAGCAGCTTGAAGTGTCAATGACCACAACAGTCATTTTTTGCCTGACACTCTGCGCGAACTTATATGCGAGTGTTTGTGTGTAACACACCTCTCAAGTTCATTTCCTGCAGCCGCATCAGCCTGGAATCTATTTTTGCAGAACGCTTGCCAACATTTAAATGGCCAGCCTGCGCCGAATAACAAGCCTTGGTGTTGTTATCGCTTGCACGGCTCTATCACTGTTCACGCCACTTTGTCCTAACTGGGAGACGGGCCACGAAGACAGTTTTGTAAACACGGTTCTAATGAATCTGTTTGCCTGTGGTGACGGGCAGAGAATCAAATAGAGCAGAACACGAACACAGAATAGTTAGCCTAGTGAAGGGCACGTTAACCGCGGTGGCCGACCTGTGAAGATGTTACTTAGGCCTGGTGTGGTCTATTTGTCACTATGACGTACTTTGGAAGACTGTGCTGTAACATGTATCTATAAAGCGAAGTTTACTTAGTCGAATTTCCAGGGCAACAAAAAGTGGAGAAATTCCACGCGACTGGTTTAATTGTTAATCAGGCCTACGTTAATTTACACGAGAAAGGCTATGAATTTCACGTAAGTTCTATCACAAAATCGAAGCTTTTAAAGTATTATTTTGTTAAGTGCCTGATAAAGCCTGTTTTCGTGCATTCGTGCTAGCCAGGCCCTTTGCCAGCAGAGCATATAGAGGAACCCTGGATAAACCACTTTTGAAGTAGGTCAGCAGAAAAACAGGCAAGATATATATGTTGTGTGTGAGGAATACAAATCCATTTGCTGACTCATCATAATAATAATTAAGCACTTGAAACCAGCACGTTCCCTTTATGCAGGGGTGTATCTGCCGCAACGTAGCGTGAAAAGCTATTTAAGCTATAAGAAGCTATTGCGGCTACAAGCTAAAGTGTCTTCGGGTGCCAGTGGTTATCAAACAGGTTTGTTCAATGACAGTGTTAGGGGTGTGTCAGAACTGATGGTGAAATTTAGTGTGCACAATCGGCTAGTCACATTTTCTGTTCAATCTAAAATGTTCATTTATCTATCTATCTGTCTGTCTGTCTGTCTGTCTGTCTGTCTCTGTCTGTCTGTTGTCTGTCTGTCTGATCTGTTCTGCCTGCTGCCTGCCTGCCTGCCTGCCTGTCTGTCTGTCTGTCTGTCTGTCTGTCTATATCTGTCTGTCTATCTATCTATATCTTTATCTACATCTATATATTTATATCTATATCTATATATAGAGCTATATATCTATATCTATATATAGAGCTATATATCTTTATCTCTATGACCATCTTGTAATGTTCCCCACTCGATCTCTTCCAGATTTGTGACACGCCACATCCAACGTTAGGGTGAATTGCGACAAGACTCCTCGTCGAGGACACCATCGTCACGTCTATACTGCGCGTGTGCGCACACCAGTGCAGCAGCAGCAGTACCAGCGACCATGTCCGACTCGGAGTTCTCCTCGGACGGCGATGTCGACCTCTTCCTGAGTCCCATCGACGACGAGGCGTTCGCCGATTGGTCGGACTCGTCAGACGACGACGACGGTGACGTCGTCGCGCCGATGCCGTCTCTGCGGGAAGCCGTCGTCCGGAAAGCCTCGGACGTCGCGGGACGGAAGATGTCGGACGGTGTGATGCCGCCGAAGAAGAAGGCCAGCGTGAGCTTCTATGTGCCGCGAAAGAAGGAGGAGGAGGAGGAGGAGGAGGAGGACGAGGGAGAGGGCGGTGACATCTTTGGTGGAGGCTACCAGAGGAGGGAGTCTCTTGGGGGAGACTTCCAGAGGAGGGAGTCTCTTGGGGAAGACTTCCAGAGGAGGGAATCTGTGGGAGGAGGCTGCCAGCGGAGGGGGTCGGCGCCGGGGCTGAGCGTGGGCGGGCTGCGGACGTCGCCGCCGCGTCGGCTCAGCGTCATCGTGCAGCCGGAGCGCAATCGTCGGGCGAGCATCGCGCTACGTCCCAGCATTGCCGTCAACACGCCGCGCCTCCGCTGGATCCAGGTGGGTGCACACCGCCTCTCGAGCGCGCGCGCCAGGAAAAAAATTTATTTTTTGGTGGCTACTTTTCAAGCTCGCGTGCATGAAAATAGCACTATAAAATTTGGTTTGCATTGTACTCTATGCAAATTTACAGGGGCTTCTTTTGGCATTTCCGGGGCTCTTTCTGGCATTTTGGGGCCTAAATCGCCCTGAGCCCCCGTGTATTTTTTTCACTGGCGCGCGCGCATTTGAGTTTACATCTTCTTGGCTCCGATTGTGAAGCGTGGGTGGGTGGCAAAAGAGTGGGTGAGTGGGGAGAGTGTGGGTGGGTAGGGGAGCGTGAGCGTGGGTGAGTGGGGAGGGCACTGAGAGCGTGGGTGGATGGGGAGAGCGTGAGCGTGGGTGAGTGGGGAGGGCACTGAGAGCGTGGACCATGTACATGGAAATGAGATGTGAGAAGTTTTATAGTGACAGGCAGTAACATGATGTAATGTATGTATGACCAGGAGAGATTTAGTACACCGAAGGAGAGAGAGAGAGAGAGAGAGAGCGAGAGCGAAGAGCGAAGAGAGAGAGAGAGAGAGAGAGAGAGAGAGAGACACGAAAGAGTGAACCAAACCAGAAAGGAGAATATGACCATATACCATATATACTGTATATATACACATACCATTCGCACATCTCACCTACCCGTTGCTCGCAGGTTCATCTGGACCTGGCCAAGTATCATGAGATGGGCCGCTTCAAGGAGCAGGATGGCGCCGAATGCGACATGGACGCGGCCATGTTCCACCTCAAGCAGGCCGTCAACTGCGAAGTGCTGGAAGCGATACAGATCATGGCTAAGCTCTACCTGAACATGCCTACGGACATTTTCTCCTCCGTACAGATCCCGGTAAGCATCCCAGCGCATCTCGCGCGAGCGTCCCTCGGACTAACGAGCGGTGTCATGGACGGTCGGGCGCGCACGCTCGCGTCGAGTTCTGGCGTTTGCGTGTCGCGAAACGTTGCGCGAAGCCGCAAGCGGTTGGATCCGCGGTGAAGAATTTTTGCGGAGGTAGGCATGCTGCTCGTGCAAGACGGAGATTATGCGTACGTATATCGTGGGCCTCTGTGTGATGTGGCATTTAATATGTCAATTTCATCGATTTGTGTTGCAGGAGGATGAGGAAAACATTGACATCGGTGTCGGTTATATGCACAACGCGGCTGATGCAGGAGACAGACAGGCCATGATTCACCTAGCTAAAGCTTATGACACGGGTGTCAATCTTGGATCTCAAAGGTTTGTATATACAGTCGACTTAAAACAAGGTTCTGCTATGCACTGCCACACTAATGGTGTATTATAGGCAAGGCAGTCACACCCCCCCCCAGTTTGTTTTTGGTATTGAATGTACGTGGCAGTAACAACTGGTCATCCTGGATGAATAGTGGGGAGATCTTAGGATGCGTAAAGTCTTAGGATGTGTTCCTTGTAGCAGAAACTGTAATTACAACCTTTTCCAGTTTACGTCCAACGTTTTGAGCTGGAGCTATGATATCCTTTGCTGCCCAACTGATTTGGCATGCTCCCGTGTCACATTTTGTCTCTTGTTAAGCAAATTAAACCTCCAGCTTATACGACCGCCCGACTCATTACTGATAGTAAAACAAACAACGACAGTCATATAGTGCTGCCCCCAGACTCCTGTTCGAATATCTCAATACTGATGTCACTGCCTGTCTAGAAGCAGCACTGATTCGAAGCTATTGTTCAAATGTATCAATACTGTGATCACTGCCTGTCTAGAAGCAGCACTGATTCGAAAAGAAAGAGCGAGAGCGGGAGAGAGAGAGATAGATGGAGAGAGAGAGGAGATAGAGAGAGAGAAAGAAAGATGGAGAGAGAGAGGAGATAGAGAGAGAAAGAGAGAGGGAGGGAGAGAGAGAGGAGATAGAGAAAGAGAGGGAGGGAGAGAGGTAGTACGAAAGATAAAAAGAGCGAGAGCGGGAGAGAGAGAGAGAAAGATGGAGAGAGAGAGAGAGAAAGATGGCGAGAGAGGGGAGATAGAGAGAGAGAGGAGAGAGAAAGAAAGAAAGAGAGATAGGAGAGAGAAAGAAAGAAAGAGAGATAGGAGAGAGAAAGAAAGAAAGAGAGAGAGAGAAACATGTTAAAATCTCTCCTGCACAAGCCCTGTGAAAATGTGAATAATTGTCATTGTGATGCTGTATCTATTAACTGTTTGCAGGCGTTCAGTCACTTCACTTTTGAGAGATCTGGCCATGAGGTGATTGTTGTTGACATCCAGGGTGTTGGGGATCTCTGGACTGATCCTCAGGTACATACCTCAGGTGGTTTGGAATATGGAGATGGAAATCTGGGAACCAGGTTTGTAAAATTCAGCATTCCACGTGCATTTTTTTAATTCCTTGTTTCATAAGAGGTAAAGTTGGAGCTAGGGGTAAGCAGTAGCATAGCTCGTTTCGTTGCCATAAACGACGTAACCTCACATTGCAACAACTAGCGACCGTTGATTCAAACTGACTCTGAATCTATTCTGCGCTTTATTTTACATTATGAATTTCATGACCCATCTTGCATAGCAACCTTTACTATATTTTTATACATTTATATTTTACCTCAATGATGAAATTCACGTATTTTTTCATCGTCAGGGGGATGGCATTATTCTTTCACTCCCACGTGTGTAACCAGATATGCGCTAGACTGAGGCTAACTCCGTTTGATCTCGTTCCGTCGGAGAAGAAACATCACGAGGAGCTTATCAAGTCACAGGTTCGTATCATCTGTAATGTGATTACCATCACAATACTATCTGTTGTTGTGTAGCATATTCTATACATGTATGTGTGTGCATTTTTGGAAATAAAATACATTATTAAAAAAAGAAAAGAAAAAAAAGACAGGTGCTTGCAGCTGTTGTGTCGAATATATGGTACGTAGTCAGTAGACGTAACAGTTGAGTAAGCAGTGGCAAGTACGGTTTTATTATAGACTGATGAACAGCACAGTCAAAACAGTGTGCGCGTACTCGTTAGAGTATGCTGACGTCTCTCCCGTTGTCACCAATTAAAACCCCTCCTTTTTAAATCGTTTGCATCATCCTCGCGACCTGTTTAACTGATTTATGGCGCGGGTCGTGGATATAACGACCGGTCGTGACTAACGTAAAAAGGAACGCCGATCACCGGCGACGCTGCCCGCTTAATGATGGCCGTTTGATAAACCGCGTCGCATTCTTCTTGAAGTTAATGTGTTCGTGCCATTCTGAAATGCATTCTGTCCACGTTGAATTATGTGTGCTCTAAAGTATGCAGCTAATGTCTTCTGGGTCCCTCGCTGGCCGTCCCTGGACATTTGCCTGATTAATGTGCCAAATTCCCCATGTCTCTATCTTAAAGCTAAAACACCGTACTACACAGCCGCATTTCATTCAATAATTGTTGTGCCCGATTTTACGCGCCCCGATTTAACGCGAATTCGGATATGATGCGATGAGTCATTGGACCTTTTTTCTGCTCTTTCCGGAACTGGAAAGTTTTTTTGTGAATTAAGCCGGCCTTAGTTCGAAGCGATGATCACCTATAGATCGCGCAACTAAATGAGTTTACATGACTTGTTGCTATGGGGGGTCAGTTTATACGCTGGTTTTCTTGAACCTCGATTTAGCGCGACCCTGCTTTTTTCACGATGACATTTTATGGATCCCAACCGCAACGATCGTGTTATAACGGGGCCACACTGTATTTCTATACCTATTGACGAGTGAAATTCTTGCTCAAAGTTTTCCAAGGGCTCGTGATGATTCATGCGAAGGATGCCGAGTGTCGGGCCGATGTCGGCCGATTGATTTTATTGAGAGGCGAGTGAATATGGACTACATTCCGCCTAATTACCTGCTAGCCATCCCATTTCATAGCCATCATCATGTTTTGCGCGATGCTGCTGTGTAGCTTCGGTTACACGATGAAACGTCGCTCCCTACATTCCAACTTTTCGGCGGGAACTTTTCCTTCCCGCACGATCGCAGCCTCCGTCACGTTTCCCCTCTCGCGCAGGCATGAGAGTTGTCCGCTAATTAGCGGAATTCCGTTTTTTTAATTCTAAAATCCGCCGATTTTGAAATGGATTCCGCTTTTCGGACCCGCGATAATATTGTGTCCATTTCTACGTACCGTGTTGTCGAACATTATGAGTGTTCTGATCGGCTGTTGTGGCAGATATATACTGTACAGATTTGTACCAGAACCCGTGCCGCGGGCGTCTGGGCAGCCCCCCCTTGTACACCCGCCTGAAATATCTTCAGCTAATTTCTCTGTTACTCACTCTCATGCCCGCTCGCGTCGTCTTCCAGAAATCGTCGCAGACGTGTCTGAAGGGAAACTTCGACAGCTGCATCGGCACTTCGACGTTCGGCTTCGGCGCGCGGCGTCAGCGCTACACGTCGTTCCCGCCGCTGCGCTTTAGCGAGTGCGACGATGAGGACGATGACGAGGGCATTGGCACGTCCGTGAGTTCCGACAGCGTGCTGGACACCCCAACGTCGCCGCCGCCGCAGCCGCCGCGCTCCGGCATGCCCGAACCGCGGAGGAGGAAGAGAGGACTCTCGGGTATGTGGGGGGGGGGAGCAGAGGGAACTCTGATGTATGTGGGCGGAGGGGCAGAGGGGACTCTGAGGTATGTGGTAGGGGGGGCAGAGGAAACTCTCGGGTATGTGGGGGGAGGGGGCAGAGGCACAGGCATTTGGGACAGAGTCAGAAAATAATATGAACACACATTCACAAATAGGCCCTACTACCGTACCTCTCAATTACAGTTCCACTGTTGCGTCACTGTATATCAACTTTCCTTCATAAAAACCTATGTAAAAACTAACGCCGAACGCTCCCGCACTCGCCGCTGCGAGTGTGCTGTGACGCCATGAGAATAGTTTATATATATATAAAGCGCAACTCGCCGCTGCGAGTGTCGCTGTGCGCTATCGATAATTTATATAGAGAAAGGTAGGAAACTCCGTCTTGCCGCAATTTGCGACGATCACTGCTCGAGTACTTGCACGATATTCAACAGAACTTGTTCAGGCGACCTAGCACCTTCGGATGACTACGTGGGCTCTTCTGCCTTATAGTCCATGCAAACAAACTAGTACGATACGTAGCCGAAGTGACAGCTATGTATTAGTAATGTGACTCTCAAAAACTTCAGAGAGATCCCGCCGATGATCGTGCTGAATTCATCAAAAGTAGTATAGATTCACGATTCGATCGGCCCACGGTAGTCGAGGGCACACGCGAAGAGCGGGAGATTCGGCTTGGGCGAGCGGGAGACGCTTGAGGGTAAATACACAGAACGGTGATTTGTGTTATTACGCAGTTGCCTCGGACTACGGGGCAAAGAGGAAAGAGCGATCGGAAAGTCATGTGGGGAAATGATAGTACATTGTTTTGATGTGAATCAGGCCGGAGAGGCCGAGGGCAAGAGGAGGGTTGTGAGTTTGAGATCACATTAAAAGCAGAACGGGGGTAGGCACTTCCGGCACGGGTAGTTGACATAGTTTGTTCAGATGGACTATTAGAGGACAGACGAGCCAGATGGAGCGGTGGTAGGGGTGCCCACTGGCGCCTGACAGTTTGTTGAAATGTGAAAGAAGGTCGAGCCGTGAGGTCGTTCGCAAATTGCGCAAGGACGAGAGTTTCCTTACTCCTCTCATCTAATAGATATATTTCATAGCGTCACAGCCAACGTTACGCAGCGTGCGAGTGAAGGATGCGTTTTCAGCAAAGTTAGTTTTTAGCATAGAAAATGTTTTATGAAAGGAAGGTTGAATATTACAGTGACGCAACAGTGGAACAATGTAAAGAGGCGGATGCAACGGCTAGTAGGCTATTGTGAATGTGGCTGTTCACTATTATTTTCAGTTTTTACTACTCTGCCGAGTGCTGTGGGCAGAGGTAGGGTCCCGGGTATTAACAGAGAGTTGCGGCCACCCTGACGAGTCGGAAAAAAAGCCGGTCCACGTGATCGCTGGAGACGCATGTTGTTTCAAATGGATCACACCCGCTGCCGCTTAGGGGTTTTAACCAGCGTGTATGGATACGCTGGTACAATGGTCCGTTAGTAATTAATTGACTAATCTTGCTTCGGGGAATAAACTCAAAATTATACACGACGACTTGTAGGCGCTAAGAAAAGAGATCGATGTGTCTATGCTGTAAATCTAGAGGATTTATGGGTACAGAACTGCAAGAAGCACATAGTGGGTACAAGTAGCATGAAGAGAA